ATACTGCTGTGAATATTATTGTGCAGGGTTTTATAGGTATGTTTTCTTCCCCCAATATATGTCTAGGAATGAAATCGCTGGGTCATTGCCACATGCACCCATTCTGCACTGAGGCCTGTGATCCCTGTCATCCTGCCTGAGAAATTACTATGTCTCGAAGAAACAGGTCATTATCTCAACTTCTTTTGTTATAGTTAAGAAGAAGAGCTTACAAGCCTCAGAAACCAATTAGTTATTATTAATTATATTAATAACTAATATATTATTTATATTGGTATGGGCTTCTCACTTACCCAATCTAGTCCTTATGTTGAGCTATACTCAAGCCTCACCTGCCACATCCTCAGCTCTCTGAGAAAGGTTCAATAGTGATATGGGAAAGATTGGCTTTTATTTGCAATCCTTTAGATATTCTGCATGGCAGCTCCTACTGCTTTTTTCTTTAGTTTCCCAAAGCACTGCTTCCTGACCCTTTTATTTTATATATATATGCCTGGCCCCATTAAAGAGCCTCTCCATTATTCAGAGAGGTAACAGGTCCTGTAGAATTCCCAGAGGAACAGAGTGCCTGGCTTCAAGATGCTGCAACATACCTGGCACCCAGGAATGGGTCTGTGGCAACAAAGCTAAGGAGTGGACACCCTTCCTCTGCTGTTGGCTGTTTTGCATTCTACTGCAGTTTCCTTTCTTTGCACTGCTGCACATAACCCCTCCAACCCCCTGTGCTGGCGCTGCTGGTCACAGTGGAGAATTTTGACTCCCATGGGGTCAATGGCCTGTCTAGTAGTTTTTATTGACACCTTTTTTCTGCTGTGCATCTCCTTGGCTTGCTTACCAACACCAGCTAGATTTGGTTTCTTTCATACTCAAACCAGAACACATTTGGGTATCCAGAGATTTTACAGAGCATGTAATTTTTGTTATACAAACCTAACCTCTAACTTGTATTCTCATATGAAGTAATGCAAATCTACTTTTGTTCTAGTGGAGCTATTTTGGTAACATATAAGCAATTTTGGTTCAGTTTAGGGGGTAAATTCAAGGTTTTTATAACTCAGTTTGAGCTTCATTTCATATCAGTGACAGCCATTTTAATTTATCTGAATAAAGCATTTTGTTTTTCTCTCACTGTGTCTTACAAAGCCTCCTCCGACTCCCTTGGTTGTTAAGAGAAAGAAAATCTTCTTTCATTTATGTTTATGGCTTCTATCCTCCTTTGAAAGCAGGGGCTAAGTAATTATTGGCACAAATCAGTGTTCTAGAATATACCTTCAGAATCAGAGACTTTGGTGTAAAGAAGTGAAGACTATAGGTCATGGACTTTAGGTCTCTGCAGGGTTGAAGGGGGCAAGGTGAAGAGGGAGCAAGGTGAGGGAGAAGTGAACCTCTGCCTCTGTTCTCCCAGAGAAGATCTGCTTAGTCCTGTTTTGTATTTTGAGATGCAATATAAGATCATGTTTACACAAGGAATAAATGGTTTCCCTTAACTTTAAAAAATTAAAAAAATGGCTTAAAATATATTGCTAGAGGTCATATAGATAGGACTCAGGCTTTCTTTGCAGTTGCTGGATCTAAGTCCTTCAGCCCAAACACAGGGGGAAAAAAGGAATAAAAAATTAGCTACATGTTTACTAACTTCTGAGAATCACAATCACATGCACCACAGACCACACAATAGGCAAAACAG